CAATTTTAGAACATTTTCATCACCCCCGAAAGAAACTCATAGTCATGAATCGCTCATTTCTTGATGCTCTGCTACCAGTTAGTCTGGGACCCAGCATAGAGCATGTTCTCAACCAGCACTTGTTGAAGACTGGGTAGTTACCCCAAGTTAGAGGACAGTGGAAGGTGGAAGACAGCCTCTTTGTGCAACACTCTTTGCATCTAACATCAAACAAGGATTTGCCTGATTCTACCATTTATTGATTTTATGCTGTTTCTCTAATTACAGCCACCACTTATTATCTCTTACATGCCATGCCATGCATTGAGTGACGTGTATACATTATCTTATCAATGCTCACAAGGACACCTAGAAGTAGGTATTTTTGCATCCATGATACAGATGAGGAAACTGAGGCTCAGGGATTTCATTAATTTGTGTAACATCGTACAACTTAGAATCACCATCATCTTAACATTAAGTACATTGCTAGTGTGTATAACTGAACACTGAACCATGTCTAGGCATTATGCTAAGTTCTTTATGTGCAACACCCATTTATCCATATTAGCCATTCATGCAACAGATATTAAGAACCTACCCCGTACCAGGCCCTGTGGCGATGCTAGGGATTCAGTGGTGGGCAAACAGATAAATCCACAGTCTCACAGGGCTCATGGTCTGGTGGCAGAAAAGGCATTCTAACAATGAACACACAAATAATTGTTTTAGGTGGGAAGAAGGAAGGTCCTCATGGTTATTAGGTGCAGATCTGGTATTAGAACCGAATACTATTGAAATCCAAGTTCAAGAAATTCCAAGACTCTTTCTGCCAAGTTACACCAGCGTGACTCCCTTAGGCTGATCTAAGGAGACTTTGGGTTTGCTTGCCCTGTAGGAGGTCTGCCACTTCCTACGGGAGGCCTTAATGCACAATACAACAAAGCCTCAAACACACACACACACACACACACACACACACACACACACACACTTACTTAGACGACCCATACCTCCAACTGGAGAGAGAGCTAGGAGAGAAGCAATGCGGTGCACCTTGCAAATGCTTTCTTTCCTCAGCTGGGGGACTCAAGTTTGAAGAGCATTTTTCTATTCGCTGTGTTGTGCATTTGCTTTTATCATGTAAATGATTCTGAAGATCACTTCACTTAAACATGTAGAGACTGTCCCATTTTGTTTTCCAGTTGCAAAGTACTCCATGATGTGAACAAACCAGGGTTCAAACAGTCCCCTGCAATAGACATCTGGAGTTGTTTGCATTTGAGGCTAGTGAAGTAATAATGCCTTAATGAATAATTGGGTGTATGTCTTGTTCGTTAACATGGAGGTGAATCTTCAGGGGAAATTCTTGAAAGTAGGATTGGGTGGATCAAAGGGTAACCACTTCTTTAGTTTTAAAAGATATCGCCTAGCTCCCTACCAACAAGGGTCGACTCCTTTTGCACTCCTACCAACAATGAATGAGAGTGCTTGACCCCTTCACATACCAGACACACGCAATATTTTTTTTAAGCACGCATTTGATAATAAATACCTACACTCCCCAGTTTCTCTTAAAAATTGCAAGATCAGGCAAATACTGGCCTGCTTTCCTGCATAGCCATGACAAGCTGAGGCTGAGGGGTCACCAAGACCAAGTTGTCACCATGGCCCTTGTGGGTCTTGGAAGTTTCAACTCCTGATCTCATCTAGCCCCTTCATTATGAAGATGAGGAGACTCTAGAAATTCATAGAAGAAAGTGAGTGGGGACTAGAACCTGGGTCTCCTACCTCCCAGTCCACTGCACCATCCGGCCTCCAGAGTAAGCCCAAGAGGGATGAGACAGACGTGAGGCAGCGTAAGTGTATAAAAGCACTGACAATTTGGCGTTAAAATTGGAATTGTTTTTTTAGCATTTACTTTGCTCAGTAAATATATCACACTACCTTGTAGTTGATTAAACTGTGACTAATCCACACAGAGCAGAGTGACAAATTGGTTTCTATTTCTTCTGAGCAACCAAAAAGAGGGCTGATGCCACAGCAGAAAGATTCAGTTACTCATTCATTCCTTTGTGCATCGAACACAAATTGTGCGCCAGCCTCCGATCCAGGCACTGGGGGTTCAAAGATGACTAACAGGCATTTAAACACAGAACAAACAAGTATGCAAAACCTTGATGGAACACTAGAAGTGTTTTATTGAAGGACCATACAGGCTGCCGTGAGAGCTCAGAGGAGGGATTGTAATTCTGCTGAGGGGCATATAGGAGAGGTCACAGAGGAGGTGTTATTTGGGTGGATTCTGAAGGACGTGTAGGAGTTCGCTAAGAAAATGAAAATGAAGTGTTGAACAGGAATTTGTTGTTGTTGTTGTTGTTGTTGTTGTTTTTACCACATCCTGGGGTTCGTTGTCTTGCCGTTTCGAAGAATGAAGAGGGGGACACAAAATGAGCAGCGGGCAAAAGTTTATTAGAGTATAAGATCAGAAAGTAAGAAGTGTATGAAAGCTCTCTTTGCAGAGAGGGGGCATTCGAAAGTGAATCGGCAAGGCCCTTGTTTTTTCTGGTCAACCCTCCCTTCCTTTCCGCCTTGTTCCTTCTCAGGTCCTACCCTTATCAGCTTGACAGTTCTAGGCGCTGGGTTGTCCATTCCTGATTGGCTCGAGTCCATTTTGTGAGGGGTGGTCTATGGCCATATATATTCCTTGTGGGTCATACGTTTTATGGTCTACTACTTATTTTTAGTTAGGTCTTTTGTCAAATTCCTGAGGGAAACCCGAGGGGGAGGAGCTGTCTGTTAGATTCTGAAGAGGAACTTTATGCCTGAGGGAGTTTGCTGTGGTCAGACACTCCCAGCATTGTTCCAAAATATGTGTTTTGCCCCACCCAGGGACCTCAGGTCCTGATCTTTCCCTCTCTGCCAACTGAAGCCTATCTTTTCCTATCATAAAGGGACATGGGAAGGAATTTCAGAACATGACTGAATTTGGAGACAGGGTCTCTAAAGAAGTAATTAAGTTAAAACGAGGACCTTGGGGTGGGTCCCAGCCCAACCTGATGGGTGACCTTACAAGAAGAAGAAATTTGGACACAGAGAGACATCAGCAATGCACTCACAGGAAAGGCCACATGAGGACACAGCAAGAAGGTAGCCAACTGCAAGCCAAGGAGAGAGGCCCCAAAAGAAACCAAACCTACCGACAGCTTGATCTTAGACTTCCAGCTTCCACAGCTGTGAGAAAATAATTTGCTCTGTTCAAACTACCTAACCCATGGTATTTTGTTAGGGCAACCCTAACAAACCAATACAGGCACCAAGCCTCCAGAGAGCAGTTAAGAGTGGGTGACAATCAAGACCAACAAAAAGAAAGGGAACAAGGAGGGGTGGGGAAACTGAGGATAAAAATGGGGCAGGAAAGAGGAGTTTGAATGTGGCAGAAACAGAGTTAGTCAAGCCAAAGAAGTTCAGTCAACCTCCAGTTTTCTATAGTGATTACCCAGTTTGTAGATATATATTTAAAAATTTTATTTTCAGTAATGGAATGTATGCATATGGTTGCAAAATTAAATAATTCAGAGAACTTATAATAAAAAAACAACTGCTCTCCCCCATGTCCTGTTCCCCAGAGAGCAATCAGCTTTGGCTAAAACAGAGCTGTCATATGCTGAGTTCTGTGCTAAACTTCTCTGTACATTGTTTTCATGAGTGCTCACCACAACCCCATGAGGTAGCTACCATTATTATGCCCGTTGTACAGATGGGAAAACTAAGGCATAGAAAAAATAAGTGATCTGTCCAAGGTCCTATATAGCCGGTAAGCAATAGAAATAGAAAGCAACTCAGGTCTGACTCCATACACCTAAATACTCTTAACCATCATACTCTGGTGGTTCCTGTCAAAGCCTTATTACCTGTGCTCCTTGATTTACCAACTCTGGACGTTATCTATTGACTTCTTAGTATGATTGATGAGGATTTAGCTCACGTAATCCTCCTGCCTTCTGCCTTCCAATTTTAGATAGATACACTGCAATATTTAGTTCTGATGTGGGTACCTTTGAGGCTTTAAATGATACACATAAACCTCAATTCCTTGCTTGTACTCTACAAACATTTGTTAATTGGTTGTGAATTGGGTGACAGAAAGGCCATCCCAAATGTTCTTCTTACCCATCTTCACCCACCATAATACTTAGCTCTGTAATGGGCACCCGGCAGGTGCCCAGGATAAATACCTGGGTAACAGAAATAAATGCAGAGAAACTTAACAGCATCAAAGGTGGGAGATGACCAACAAATCTCAGCTAGGAGAAGGGCATGATAATTGCAGCCTGCAATGTCAGACTGACTTCTTTGGAGACACAGCCTCCCACCGAGGAGGGAACAAGGAGCTATAAAATGGAAATTGAAGGAGAATCGCTTCAGAGCAGCTGTCAGGAAGCACTTCCCCCAGCAGAGACAGCAGATGACCTCGCTGCAAGGTTGTCTGGGCTCACACACCTGGGCGTGTCCTGCCAACTTAAGGAGGCCACCAGGGAACTCCATTCAGCACCCCCCCCACCCCATCTCCCCATAGTGGCAAATGGGGGGTATTCTGCCAGCATCAGTTCCACAGTGGGCTTTCTGAAAGGGGTGGCGGGGGCAGCTCCCTGGGGGAGGCTTCTCCCATAGCCTGGAGAATCTGGGCCCTCATACCTGTGAAGAACCCAATTACATAAAGATGAAGGCCATCTGCATAGGGTCTTTGTTCATGCCATCCTTCTGTCTGTAGCATCCTCCCCACTTTCAGCCTAGCTAATTCTTACTTATCTTTGTACTTCTGGTCGGATGCACTGTCTCATAAAGGGATTCCAGATCCTCCGAGGGTGCATCACATCTGCTATTACACATCCTCTAAGTATTTTGCTTTGATGTCACTTAGCACAGTGGTGCATTTACATTTATTAGAGTCATTACTTGTATAAAGCCTCACCCTCGAGATTGGGACCGTCTCTGATTTTGCTCACCACTGTGTCCCTGCACCTAGCATAGCATCCAGCGCATAACAGGTGCTCTGTAAACATTTCTTGAATGAATGAAGAGGTGAATGAATGAGTCTGAATTCAATCCCTTTAATCAAGTGGTTCATTTATGTGAGGTTTTGCCCCCTGAAAACCCAGCATTGTGGCACCTAAAGAGAAGAGGATGTAGCTTTCAGACCCTGACTGCCCCAGTCCAGACTCATGATTCACCTTCTGAAAATGCAGTGACTGGCATCTCTGATGACTCACACAGACTCCTGGGGGACGCCCCCCACACACATTCTTTTCTTCCCTTCGCTCCTGTCCTCCCCCATCAATCTGTCAGCAGGCTGGGTCTTTTTGCCTCCTACTAGGTAGTTCTCAGTCCTGGCTTCAGCTGACTGACCAGAGCAGTCTTTTAAACAGACAGATGCTTGAATTTCTGATTCAGGGGCTCCAAGGTGGGCTCAGGGAAGTGTTCATTTAAAAATTCTCTCCAGGGGGATTCTGATGTGTGACCCACTCTCTAAATGGATCTCAAAGCTGTCTCCTTTCCTGTAGCCGCCTGCCCTAGTCCAGACCTGTCCACGCCCTCTTTCCCCCCCTGGGGAGAGCAGTTTCCTCTCTGGTTTCTCAGGGCTCCAAGCTTGGGGTCCCCAGTCCATTCCCTGTGAGGCAGCCTGCCAGAGAGATCTTTCTACAATGAAAGCCTCTAGAATTTCACTCTTCTGCATAAAACATCTCCCTGCATCCCACTGCCTGCAGGACAAACCCCAAACTCCTGGAGAGCCTCACAGGCGCTGTTCACTTCTCTAGGCTCACCTCCTTGGTTGAGCCTCAGCCACCTCACTCACACTCTGCCCTAACACCTGAGCTATCCTAAGGGACTGAAGGAGCCGGTCCACATTCTCTCCTTCATCTGGGTCTGTGCACAATGGCTCCCCTCACCCAATGTTAAAGAAAAATCTATTCTGACACTTGTTAAACTGATAAGGAAGGTTATTGAGGACCATTGTAATAGGAGTTTGGCAATAAGGGAGAGAGAGCTCAACTCCCACTACAACAATGATATACACAACGAGCACAGTGAGGGCATCAGTGGATGGAAAATTACTAAGAGGGAGTGTCCAGGGTAGGGGGATTTTGCTAAGCTGACCTAACAGGGTTCTTGCTAAAGGCAAAGGGCTAGACATCCAGGGTAAGAGATGAGGAATTTGCTCAGATATCAAGGGTGGTCAGATCTCCTGGGTGAGGGGATGACCTGGCAGGACTCTTTGCTAAGTCTGGGCTGGGCAGACCAAAGACAGGATGGGCACTAAGATCGAGGCCCAGGTGAGAAAAGGGCTCAGGGGAACCTGGCTGAAGTTTGGTCCGGGACAGCGTCTCTGTCACCAGGAACAATTGACTGTGTTCTGCTCTGCGTCTGACAATGCCAGCTTCTCCAGTTCCTGTGCAGGCAGAGCCTCCTCTGGGAAGTCTTCCCTGATACTCCTCCGCTGCCCGGGGCCCCTCACCTGTCCTGTGTTAGCATTTGTGGCCTCCTAGTGTTGTGATCTGTTTCCTTGCCTGCTCCTGAGCTTGGCTGTAAGCAATTGGAGGGCAGGCACCCTGTCTTGAATCCAATGCCTAACACAGCGTTTAGCTATCAATAAATATTTGTTAAATGAATACATACTGATGAACAAGGCTCTCGTGGAATCGCTCCTCTGCTCTGAAACAAGCAGTGACTGTATTGCCTGCATCCGTGGTTCTTGGACTTTGGTGAGCATCCGAACCATCAGGAGGGCTTGTTGAACACTCGGTGCTCGGTCCCCCTCCAGAGTTTCTGGTTCAGTAGGTTGGATTGGGGCCTAAGAATCTGCACGTCTAACAACAGGTGAAGCTGATCCAGATGGCACTTTGATAGTCACTGACATGCAGGATTGCAGCGGATATCATCCCCAGGTGAGATGCACCATACTATTTAAAAAATCCAAAGATGATAAGACTTAGTAGGCAGATTTCAGGTGAGGTGTGAAGCAGATATGATCTCATGATCTAGGTGACCTTCTTCCCCGCCTAAAGTATAAGATTCCCTCTCTCCCTGCCTCCCTGTCTCTCTCATTTGCAGCCCGGAGCAATAGCTCAAGATTTCATTGCCTTGCCCCATGCTTCATTTGCTGTGGGAGAGGCTGCCTCTCAGGCCCCTCTGCCAGGCCTGGTGCCAGGCTGAGAGCAGGGACTGCGGGCCCCTGGGCGGCTGAGTGGAATACTAATGCAGGTGGCCCAAGGAGCGGCAGTGCCCTGAGCCCTCTCCCTTTTCGGTCCCCGCGATTAGCTGCTGCTGCAAATGACTGAGAGGGCAGAGAAAGCAGGACAGGGGTCATGTCTGAACCAGATAGGGCAGGACGGAGCTCCCCCAAATGCCCCTGCCCGGCCCAAGAGGGGCCAACGGGCAGCTGTTTGCTGCACACAGACAGAGCTGGGATGTGAAAGCTGTGCCGTTCACACATGCATGTGAGGCTTTCCGGGTGTGAGGCAGAGTCAGGGGGTGGGAAGGGGGCCACGCCAGGAGCTGGGACTCGAGGCAACTTTCTGCATGTCGCCATGTGCCAAATTCTAAATTTGAACTTGACCTTCTGGGCCAAAATAGAAGAATATTTGTCAAGATAGGAAGACAGGACATGTTTTTTTTTTTTTTTGTTTTGTTTTGTTTTTTTAGTTTGTTGCCTCAATTTGTAACTTCTAACTATTCAGACATGTGCTATACTCTTGGCCAGGCCCTGCAAATGTTTGGCATAGGGCTGCCTGCCAGAGTGATGAGGTGAGCAGGACAGCCCCCTGAGAGGCTGTGCTGTTCCCCAGGGCCAGAATCACAAACTGGAAGCCCCAGTGCCTCCCTGAGGACTGGCTGGTAATCCTCAAAAGGGCAAGCAGCACTCTCTTTCTCCCTAGGAGGTAAGGGTGCACCCTGGTTCCACATTTAAATCACACAATTTCATCTGCTCACTGAGATAAAGGAAGAGGCCTGGACCTCGGGAGGCTTAGATTCTGGGGTCCCCATCAAGCTGCTGGATGGTGGTCGGGAGTGTGGGGTCAAAGCTCACACTGACACTTCCCAGACGTATTTCCTTAGGCAAGCCACCTCTCACAACCTCAGTGTCCTTGTTTGTTAAGAGGACATCGGTGTAATGCCTGCACATGGAGGGGTTTATGCCAAAGCCTTTGGGCTGGACCTGCATGGGTGGGTATTTCCTAAGTATTAGCTGCTATTTGTGATTTCCTGGTTAGTTCATCCCTATCTGGTGGGGCTTCTCCCCAGGCAGCCCTACCTTTTGACAGAGTTTGACAAATTGGAGAAGGATGTCCTCCAGGTTTTGGGCTTTCCCCTTGGACAGTCTTTGCTCATGGGTGCCCTTCTAACTCATTTCAGGGACCCACGACTCTCATGGTGCATATCATGTACCTTTACCGATGCAGGTTCTTAGACCCCTGCCTCAGGCCTTCTGAGTCCCCAGGTTGAGTTTGGGCCCAGGTGTCTGCATTTTAATGAGCTCCCCAGAGGATTCTCATATAAGAGGCAGCTCTTGGGGGAACCCTGTGGTTGAGAAAGTGGACTGAAAGTCTGAACCCACAGCAGATGCTGGAGGCAGATTCCTGTTCTATCTGAAGCACTTTTCTAAGAGTCAAAGCTGCCCAAGAATGGAATAAGCTGCCTTAAGAAGTAGTGAGCCGCCTGTCAATGCAGGTATGCAAGCACATGCCAGATAAATACCTGGCAGAGAGAGAGAGAGAACTCCAGCCCTAGCTCAGGAGTTGCAGTTCATGGCCATGACAATCTCTGTGGTTCCTTCTTCTTTGCCCTCTGCCCTACATCTCAAGAAATGCTGTCATTCCTCCAACTCCGTCACCATGCTCCCTTTCCTAAGGGACATCTTGGTTTGAATTCTCATGTTTAAGAAAGGAATGAATGCTTTCCTGTCTTGGGACAGAAGGCTGGTGATGAAGAAGATCATTCTAGGCTGCCCCATTCAATTGCGCCACCACAGGGAACCCCCATCTGGGCCTCTGGGGCAGAGGAGCCCTGCCCTAGGCCTTCTGTACCTACCCCCCCCCCCACTTTCCTTCTCCATCATCACACATAATTTATAAAAGGAGTTGGAGGCAAAGGATGCTGTTGAGTCAGTTTGAGACTGTGCCCAAGAGAGAACTTGGAGCTGCCGTGCCTTGTGGCAACTGTGCCTAACGCCGCGTGTAATCACCGCCATGTGTCTCTGTCAAGAACTCCAGTACGCTTCTCTGCGGTCCCCGGAAACTCCCCTGTCAGGACCCTCCAAGCAGAAGACAAATGGACAAGTTAGGGCAGTGGTAAATCCTGCTGTCCTTCTGTTGTCAGCGGCCCCTTGAAGCAAATCAGCCCAGCAGGGGGCAGAGGGGAGGGCACGCCTGGCAGCAATGTTCTGGGGGACTGGGGTGCGTGGTTGCTCCCCAAGTGCATTTTCTCAAAGTGGGGCCTGGCCGATACTTTGTTTGGAGTGGACGGGTTGACATGCCAGTTGCTAAGGATCTGAGAAAGTAGTCAGGGAGGACAGTAGATTTTTTTATCTGCTCATTTCACCACCAATCCCCAATGAAAGCCCCACATCCCAGCCTTGTCTGGCCCTAGGCCTGCTCTCCCAGATGGCAGAACCTGGCTAGGTGTCCCCTCACCTGTGTTCCAAATCCAGCAGAGGAGGGTCTGGGTGGCTCATGCAGTTAAGTGTCTGACCCTTGACTTCAGCTCAGGTCATGATCTCATGGTTCCTGAGTTCGAGCCCCACATAGGGCTCCGTGCTGACTGTGCAGAGCCTGCTTGGGATTGGGTCTCCCTCTCTCTCTGCCCCTCCCGTGCTTGCTCTCTCTCTCTCTCTCTCTCTCTCTCTCTCTCAAAATAAATAAAAATAAAACTTAAAAAAAAAATAGAAGCCAGCAGAAGGCCCCCACCTCACCCTGAGCTCCACCGCTATCCTTGGAAACCCAACTCCTCTGAGCCAAAGCTGAGCACTTCCTCCTTGGATGAGACTTCCTTCCCCTCTTCAAGGGCACTGACTCTGTCTCCAGGCCCCTTGCCACCTCCATACTTTGTTTTTTTTTTTTTTTTTTTTTTTTATTTTTTTTTTTCAACGTTTATTTATTTTTGGGACAGAGAGAGACAGAGCATGAACGGGGGAGGGGCAGAGAGAGAGGGAGACACAGAATTGGAAACAGGCTCCAGGCTCTGAGCCATCAGCCCAGAGCCTGACGCGGGGCTCGAACTCACGGACCGCGAGATCATGACCTGGCTGAAGTCGGACGCTTAACCGACTGCGCCACCCAGGCGCCCCGTCACCTCCATACTTTGAATGTCACTTTTAGGAATGGTGGCCACATAATTGAGCACCTACTATGTGCCAGACACCATGCTAGGGGTGCCACATGTATAACCGCAAATGTTCACAAACCCAAAATTATTAGTTCCATTTTGCAGATGACAAAAGTGAGGCACAGGATAGTTAAGCGACTTGCAAAGGTCTAGGTGACTTGAAAATCTGTAATCGGTTGGGTTTGCAAAGACAATAACAGTGAATACCAATGACAGTGGATCCGAACCCCTGAATTTGAATCGATGCTCTCACTCTTCTTTGTTACCAGGAGGGTTGCTTTTATCTCTCTCTAAGCCTTAGTTTTTCTTTGTGTAAAATGGAGGCTGTAATCATCATCATCATACCCACTTCTTCATATTTGTGGTGAGCAGAATAACGGTCCCCCAATTTCTAGAACCTGGGAGTATGGTACCTGACATGGCAAAAGGGATTTTGCAGATGTGATTAAGTTAAGGGTTTTGACCTGGGGAGATTATCCTGGATTATCTGGGTGGGCTCAATATAATTGTAAGGGTTCTTATAGGAGGGAGGCAGGAGTCTCAGAGTCAGAGAGAGCACTGGAGAGAGATTTAAAGAGGCTAAGGGGTTGGTTTTGAAGATAGAGGAAGAGGCCATGAGCCAAGAAATACAGACAGTCTCTAGAAGCTGGAAAAGACAAGGAAACAGAGTCTCTTCTAAAGCTGCTAGAATGAATACAGCGCTTCTGACCCCTTGATTTTAGCTCAGTGAAGCCCGTGTCAGATTGCTGCCATCCAGAAATGTATCATGTGTTTTAAACCACTAAATTTGTGGTAGTTTGTTACCACAGCAACAGGGAACTAATAAGGGATTGGGACTTTAAAAATATCAGTAGGAGTGCCTGGGCGGTTTAGTCCATTGAGTGTCTGACTTTGGCTCAAGTCATGATCTCATGACTTAGAGGTTCGAGCCCTGCATCAGGCTCTGTGCTGACAGCTCAGAGCCTGGAGCCTGCTTCAGATTCTGTGTCTCCCTTTCTCTTTGCCCCTCCTCCCCTCATGCTCTCTCTCTCTCTCTCTCTCTCAAAAATAAATGAACATTAAAATTTTTTTTAAAAAAATAAGTAAAACACCAGGCACATTGAGTTGGTTATACAAAAGTTCACAGCAGATACTGCCTCCTGGTTTTACTGTGAGGTTCTTCATATCTTACACAACTTTGTATTCCAAACATAATTTGTTACAACACTTGGTACATTGTAATCATTTTCAATATTTAGTGGATGAATGATAATTTCATTCACTAAACAAAGGGGAGGGGGCAATCCTGGAAATAGTGGTAAAGACTAGAGGTATGCATACGAAGTCTAAGAGGTGATTAAATTTCCCTTAAGTTAAGGCATTGATGGGTCTGGTTAAGACCCTAATGATTTGTCCTCTGTATAGAATGACATATTATCTTGGGGCACCTGGGTGGCTCAGTTGGTTGGGCGTCCGACTTTGACTCAGGTCATGATCTCGCAGTTTGCGGGTTTGAGCCCTATATAGGGCTCTGTGCTGACAGCTCAGAACCTGGAGCCTGCTTCAGATTCTGTGTCTCCCTCTCTCTGTCCCTCCCCCACTCATGCTCTGTCTTTCAAAAATAAATAAATGTAAAAAGAAATTGAAGAATGATCTATTATACAATTAACAGTGTTTACCAAGGACTTTACTAGGTATACCTTCATACAGAGAAGAGCACAGCTCAAGACTTACCTTCTATAGGGAGGTCTTCTGTCCCCACTCCAGTACATTGTGATGGGTATTTGTTGGAACTCTTGGTTACAGGCAGTAGCAATTCAAATCAAATGTATCTGAGAAATACATACATACATGCATGCAGTAACCACAAATTTAAAAACCACCTGAATTTGTTGGCTAGTGTAACTAACAGACCACCTCTAGCTGTAGGTCTAACTTCAGGTACTGTTGTTGGATCCAGGCATTTGAATGATGTCATCAGGATTTGCTCTCACCCCTTCTGAGCTTTGCTTTCGTCTGTGTTGACTTCATTTTAAGGCATGTTCTGCCCACGTGGCAGATCTCAGGCTTGGGGTGTTACCAGGTTAGCAATCTCCAGGAAAAGAGCATCTCTTTCACAACAAATGTAGCAAAAGTCTTGAGACGGATTCTGATTGGTCCAACTTGAATCAGATGCCTGTTCTTGAACCAATTACTTTAGCCGGGGAGCTGGAACACCTACCTCATGGTTAGACGTGGGTCATGGGCCAAACATGGAGATAAGACGATCTCAGGACTGTGAGGACGATCTCAGTCCTCACATGGACTGAGAGTAGGGGAGGAGTGGTCCCCAAATGGAAATGGAGGAAGCATTACTGGAGAAAGGGAGTGGGCCGGACAGGCACAAACTACAGAATTTTCTTGCCCCAGATCACTTAGAGTAGGATGCAGAAATAGTACTAGAATCCAGCCTCTTGAATCACCCAAAAGTCTGGTTCCTCAGTCAAATGGGCTGCAGTGTGAGGGCTGGATCTGCAAATAAAACTCTCAGGCCTCCTGGGATTTCCTGGAAAAATAACGAGGAGTATGAGGGTGGAGGGTTGGCAGAAATAGACACTTCCTGTTCATACAAGAGGCTCAGACTCTCAGAATTGGAAGGCCACCAAGTCTGACTTCTCCATTCCCTTCACAACATCCTCTCCAGGTGGCTGGCAGCCTCTGTGTGTACTGCCAGGGACAGGAAACACACTCCTATTCTGAGACAGTCATTTTGTGATACCTCTGACCATCAAAAATAAATATCCCTATTTGGAGTCCAAATCTTCTTCCTGTAGCTTCCACCTCCTTACCCTGGGAATCACAGAGAATAAGTCAAACTCCTTTGGAATGGCCCAGAATAAAAGTGCACCGAGACTGAGAGTCAGAAGAATATGGTTCTGATACAGGCTCTCTGCCAGGAGAGCAAAGAAAATGCGACGAAACGCAAGCACGAATGTGAAAGTGCTTTATATGTCACAGATCATCATCTTCATTACCATCATCGCCATCATCGCCATCATCACCATCATCACCATCATCACCATCATCTGTCAGGCACTTAAATGTCAGACACCGTTCTGAAGGTATTACCTAATTTTATCCTTATAATAAACATTTGCGATAAATTCTCTTATCATTCCCATTACACAGAAGATAAAACTGATGGCACTTGAGCTTAGGCCCCATAATTAATTTAAGTGGCAGAGCTGGGACTGGAAGCCATCTGGCTCAATTCCCACATATGTGTCCTTGTCCAACACATTACCTATAAAAAACGATGCAACAGTGGGCATTGCTTTAATTGTTGTTTCAGCCTAATGGCTCTTGAACTGGTGGGTACATTTGGTTCTTCAGTCTTTTCTATGGTTGTTGAGTGGTTCTTGGCTTCCCCGATCTCTTTGTGGGACAGGGAGAGTAGTTGAATGTGCCAGAATCAGCCAACAGTCAGCCCTCTAGCCAAGGGCAAGTTTCTTGTGGATGATGTTTTCCCAAACAAGTCCTTCCCTCTTCCCTGGTCCAGAGATTAAATAACCCACAGGCAGCTCTCCAGACAGAGAGAAAAATGAAAGAGAAAGCAGTGCGTATGTTACAAGAACATAAAAAGGACCAGACTCTGTTTACTCAGATTGGGAAACAGATCCCAGGAACAATGTGTCTGCTCCAGTGTAATTATCTTGAAAGTGGTCGGCATTTTACTCAGTTCTGAAACTCATAAAGAGGCTTCAAAGAGATGGGCACTCTGGGGACTCTTTAATCAAAAGAGACCTAAGAGGTAAGGTTTCTAGATCAAATTCAGCCCTTAACTGAATCAGCAAAACTGAAAAAAAAAATTAAAAAGGGAATTTTATGAAACAGCAGGAAAATGTTTTGGATATGCAGATTGAAAAGAAAGGGTAGAAACTGACCCCGATACCTGGCTGAATCTTTCTACACGGCTGGCTGGTGTTAGTGAGAGTGGAAAGAAAGGAAGTTCTTGCAATTATAAACCCCTAGCTTGGACGAAACATAGAGCTTCCATCTGTTCTATTTTTTTTTTTCACCTAATTTACTTACAATTAATTCAACTCATCCATTCATTCATTTTTCAGTAAATAGCTGAAGTGCTTACTGTGCTCCAGGAAGATGCAATGGAGAACACAAGGTCCTTCCTTCAAGGAACTTACTATCCCCAAGTCTGTCCCAGAGTAGGAGGCTCAAGCATCTACGTGCCCTTCTGAGCAGAAAGTGTCTATTTCCCAGCATCCCTGCCCCCATATGCCTCTTGGTTTTTCTGGGAAGACTCATGGGGCTTAATAGATTTGTTAACAGAGTCAACCTTCACATTCCAGTCTGTTTGACTTTAGAACTGGATTAGCTTAGAATTCAGGAGGCTGGATTCTAGTTCCGTTTCTGAGTCCTATTCTGTGTGTGATTTTTGGAAAGAAAAATTCTATTCGTACCGGAAGAAAACTGAGCCTCCAGGAAGACTTTTCTCCTCTTGTTCCCCAGTCCCCATGTTATGTTTAAATCTTGGCCCTCCCACTCACAAGCTGTGTGCCCCTGAGCCAGTTGTCTAACCACTCTGTTCTTAGTTTTACTGTATGTAAAATAGGACTGTGAGAGTTTTTATTAAGAAAAATGTATGTGAAGTGCTTGCAATAGTTCCCGTTTTGTAATAAACACTCAATAGACTTTAACTATTCTTATTAGAGCACTGTGGACCATCTTTTCATAGTATTGATCACTATGTGTTATTATATGGTTAAGTGGCTATTAGATTTACATCTGCCTCCCGATTAGACTGTAAACTCCATAAGGGCTGTTTTATCTACCGCCATGTTTCCAATGTCCAGTTCACTGACTGGCATACAAAAGGAGCTCAATAAATATTTGTTTAATCGGTTAATGAATGAATGAATTTCTTCCCAAATCCATGTCGGCTTGCAGAGTAAAGAATCTGAAGAACTGCCAGAGCATCTGTTCCCAGAGGTTTTCTCAAAGATGCTCCGACAGCTGTTTGTGCTAGAAGCCACCATAAAAGGCATTTTTAAAAGTGAGAGGGAGAGAATACTGGTAACGAGGAGATCTATGGCCCAGCTGGGATCCTGGCCTTGTGACTGCAGCGAGACTCAGGGGAGGGAAGGGGGAAGGTGGGAAGGTAGACACAGGGGCTGAAGAAAGGAAGACAGAGGCATTATTTTGAATCAGAGTTGGAGAGATACTCAGAAAGAGAGACTCATCAAGGCAGAAAGAGTCATTGAGAAAGGTGCTCCGTGGTTGACAGAGACAAAGGCAGAGTGGGAGAAGGGAAGGAGGGAAGACAAGTGTTTGAACTGGCAGCTAATTCTCCAAATCCTTGAGGGTTTTTGAGAGCTAGAGAGTAATTCAGGCTTCAGCCTTGGCTGGTTGATTTATGACCAGTGAGAGTTGGACCACATTGGAGCTAAGCACATTAGGCAGCTGTGTGGCTTGGAGCTTCTTGAAGCCAAGCCTGGGACTTCTCTGGAGAGCAGGACGGTGAGCAGATCAAAGGGTAGAGGGACTGCTGCTCTAATGGGATATGAACTCTAAGTCAGGGAAATCATGGTACAAAAGACTTAGAAAGCCTCGGTCATTAGAAGCCTCACTTCTAATTGGGAGCACACAAGAAGTTTTGACTCAGAAGACTGATCTTTCCTCCTTTCCTGCCTCCCCACTTTCCCCACCTTCCCTCCCTCTGCTCCTCACTTCCTTCCTTCCTCTCTTTCTCCCTTCCTTCCTTCCTCCCCTCTTCCCCCTATCCCTCCCTCCTCTCCTCCCCTACTCCCTTCCTTCCTTCCTTCCTCCCTCCCTTCCTTCCTTCCTTCCTGATTTATTGAGCATTCAGAATGTACAAGGCCACCAGGAATGCAGAGATTAAATACGACATGATTCTCAACTTTTAAAGAGCTCTCAGTGGTGTAGCATAAAGAGAAGAAAAACAGGGAATGGAATAATAGGTACAGTATGGTACCATTTATATAAATTCAATTTTTTATTTTTTTTAAAGTTTATTTATTCTTGAAAGAGAGAAACATAGAGTATGAGCAGGGGAAAAGCAAAGAGGGAGGGAGACACAGAATCTGAAGCAGGCTCTAGGCTCCAAGCTGTTAGCACAGACCCTAACACGGGGCTCGAACTCACAAAACCATGATATGACCTGAGCCAAAGTCGGATGCCCAACCGACTGAGCCACCCAGGTGCCCCATATATAAATTCAAGTTTTAATTTTTATTTGTTCAAGATACATGTACTTATAAATTTCTAATGAATTAGGCAGAAATAGTCTAAATTCGTGACCGAGGCTGTTGGGGGATGATGTGGGGAGGAAATGAAATCTGAAATGGCAAAGCAAGGGGGTTTCATCTCTAGATGAGCAACATGTTGCTTATTTTATTTTTAAGAAATTGAAAAAAATAGACAAATTGTTTTTGAATGGTCATTTTACATGGTGGGTATTTGGCTATTTGGTATATGCTATTCCTCTGAACTTTCCCAGAATTAAAGGAAAAGCTCAAGAAATTGAAAAACTGATCATAATTCATCAAGACAAGTCACTTTTATGCTTCTCTTCTTCCACATTAGCCCCAGGAGATGGTGGCAAGAGAAATGATCAGAGGCGTCTTCTGTCTCCCCCAGTCCACCTACCCTGCAGTCCATAGTTTCAGGAATGAATTCCCCAGGGTTAAATCAAATAAGCTACTGCATGCTAAGTATGATAAAACAATCCCTTTTCCATGAAATACATGCACCTTCCAGAGTGTTCCAGAAGTCAGGAACTTGATAGTTCAGGCAGGAAGGGGGTGGCGTTTGGGAGCCAAAGTGACCAGAATCCTTTGAGTATCTGTGGAAAGGAGGCACTGGCCATTTATGGTCTCTCTCTCCTAAGAAACCCTAATTTGTAGGCAGGTGATGGTGAAGAAAGCCCAGGCTTTGGAGCCAGACAGACTCAGGATAGGGGCTCCTTAGAAGCTGTGTGACCTCAGGGAAATTATTAAGTCTCTGAACTTGAGTTCCCTCATCTGTAAAATGGGGACAATAAGGCTTCCCGGGGTTGTTGTGATATTTAAGCGACCCCGTAGAAGTTTAGTGTCCAGCAAGCACAACATGGTACCCAGAAAACAATAGATTCTTTGCGCATATTAATCTCTTCTTTCTGAGGGGTAGGTGTTCTTTGTGTGACATCTGGAATATGGCTCCAAGAGCCAACTTCGTAAATGGGCGCGGTTGCCAGGACTTCTGTCCTAAAAATCTTCCTTCGTGGAAAGAACAGCATTGTAAGTGGCAAAGATGGTGGAGACACTGAGCCTAAGTTAAGTCCTGGTTCCAGGAGGAGGCAAGACCCCCCAGAATCAGAGAGCAACAGACCTGGAAGAGACAATGCCGGTCCTCAGGCCACTAGTTCCCAAACCTCACCTCACATCACCTGGGAAGTTTGCAAGCCACTCAGTCTTGAGTCTCAGATTAGAAGAGCTGACATTGGGA